TTTCTAGTTCATTGGATGCTATGAATAGACTTGCAGAGCACAGGGGTATTAAATAGATCGGAATAAAGTCATTTAAATACCAAAGATGTGGAAAGAGGGGAAAGAAGGGGGCACTGCTGAGAGAGGCAAGGTGGTTGAAGAGATCAAAAGGGATAAAGCAGATCACCCAAGCAAGAGGGGCATAGGGGTTATAAAAGCCAGTCTAGAACAAGAACCCAGAATCTCTATTGAGACCATACTTAACACAATCCAGTCTTTCGATGATGACTTGTTCTGCAATTTCCCATTCAAACTGGTTTTTAAAGCTTTGCTGTTTAAAAACAGCTACTCGGATGTCAGCGAGGGAAGTCCAAGTGTTCTGCCATGGCCTCGCGTGTCAGGTCAATGTCCATCCGTTCTTTCACATAGGATCATCCCATCTGTCCAATGTAGACAGCAGAGGAGCTGATGATGGCATATATGACATGGGTAGTGGATGAGGTGAATATCAAGCAGCATATTAAGCAGGTGTTGGCACAGATGACATTGGTAGCAGATGAAGTGAATGAACCCTGGATGTCTTGATTCTGCCCAGCCGCCACCTTGCAGCAGTGGCTGAGGTCTTTGGGCTCCCCTCTCTCCTCTGGCTTCTGGTTTCTGCTCCCACTTCTGGGGCTCGGTAGTGCTGTGGGAGAGAGCCAGGTGCGGTAGTGCATGCAGGAGGGATAATGTTAGGCTGCATGTGCTGCATATTCAAAAAAAGAGGGAGCCAGGTTGCCCAGGCTGCATGCTGCGGGTGGGCTGTCCGCATGATGTGCACGGCTGGGAGGGGGTGGGCTTGCTGTGCACGTGGCTGGGGGGAGCTGGGCTCACCGTGTGTGGCCAGGACAGAGAGCTAAGCTATCTGTGGCAAAAGGGAGTTGGGCTGCGCCCGGTGGCAGGTGGGGAGGTTAAGGGGGAGCGGTCTCCGAGGTGTGCGGCTCTCAGGTCTGCACCCCGCGCTACCTGCAGTCAGTCCCCAGCTGCCCAGAAGTTGCACAGCCCTGATGGACATTACAGACAAAAGGGTCAGGCTGGTTCAAGCTGACTGTTACGGGTGACTCCCAGGTGTCGGTGTAAATGAGCCTGTTCAGCGTCGTGTCTTGGAATCTGGGAGCGCTGGAGTTTCTATAAGGCTTGCTTTTGTTTTTACAAGGCTTGATGTGACGGATAATCATTTCTTTCTTGCACAAATACATGGTGAAAATAAAGTGCACCCTAATGTCAAAACAAGCCCTCAGAGTGAAATCCTGACTTTGCTGAAGGGCAGTCAGGGGCGACAGGCAGGACATGTTCTCTACTTAAATGCTCATGTTATAGCCAGCACCACTGAGACCAACGTGCAAGGGGAGAGGAAAACTGACCTTGGGAAACAATAGTAATGTATAATACATGAACACTGGGCTCTTTCGCTCCTTAAGCTGCCACCGGTTAAACATTTTCTTATTCCATCAATCTGATACTAAAGAACAATACAGTATTGATTTGAAGGCACATTGATGGCATAACCAAACTTTGCATTGATCTCTTGAGCAGGGTTCGTGTATCCAAGTTACTTCATTTGCTTTCTTCCCACTTTGAACATTATCTTTTCAGCACCATCCAATGGCAGACTTGATTTTCCCTTGCCAGTGGAGTGGGCCATCTTTACTTATTATGATAGAGATCAGGAGTGCTAATTAAGGGCCAGGACTCCAGAGCCCTGTGGGTATGGTATGTTCAGCCTTCTCCAAAAGACCCACCACTGAACCAGTACAGACAAGCTCAAAGCCCTCACAGCCTACATATCACACATCATGTGTTGAACAAGAAGAAAGAGGGTAATGGAGGGCTTGAAGGAGAGTGTAATGTAATAGCTAAACAAAGCTAAACCCAGGCAATTTAACATTGAGTGAAGCAACTGCTCAAATACTATGGTTTAGCTTCTACTTACTATGAGATAGGAACAGACACATGAAGGAGTCACAACAGATCTGAAGTGCAGTAAATCTGTCCCTTTCACTTCATTTGTTCATCTGCCCACACCCACAATTTATAATTCAGCTAAGTAAAGCCGGGCTAAAATGAAGAATAAAGGCATCCTTTTTTTTTTTTTAATAAGCATTTATTCAGTTAAAGAAATAAAAACAACAGAGGCCTCTTTTTGTTAGTAAAAATAATGCCAAAACCATCTGGTTTGGTAAGCAGTGCTTGACATGGGAGGAAGTGTTGGCTAATGTTACAGCACACGATTTGCTGCCGTAATCTAGCACAGAATGACACGTGGATTCTGATATTTATTGAATTATGGATCCTGGCTGTAACTGCAGGGTTCTGTGACCAAGGGCTGAATCCTATTTCACCTTCACATGGCAATACGCCGCTTTCAGAGCCATGTCCCAGCCATTTGTGGAGCTTATGCACCACTTGGATTGTGTTCACACTTTCACAGCCGCAGTCACTCTGTGCTTCTTTTCTGAGCGTGTGTAGGCTCCTAGGTGGAATATAATCCCCTAGCACATGTGTAGCATCAGGTAAGAAAGCACATGACTAGTAGGTGCTTGATGCCAGGGTAGGGTAGGGTGCAACCTTTAGGCCAATAGCCAACTGCATGGGATGCTTGCTGGGGTGTGAGAAATCAAGGTTTTAGGCCCCTCTTAGCCAGAGAGGGTTTGTGTTTGTATCTCTTGTTTTCCAGTAAAGTGCTCTAACTACAGGCCACGGGAAGTGGGAGGGAGGCTCAGGGAGATGGATGCTGGGGGTCTGGGTTCTGGCCTCTCCCCTGCTGATTTAGCTGTACCATATACTCAGTATTCATTGGATAACGTGGACGTGCAACAGTAGGATGGTTTTTGCCTCATCGGAGACTGGGGTAGGGCCTGACCCCACAGCCACCTCCCTTCCACTGAGCCACACTTCCCATGGTTGCTCCCCTCCTGGCTGCTCGGTGGGCCAGACCAAGGGGAGGGCTGGAGGGTGCTCTCAGCGATGCCTAGCCCATGGCTTGGTGGGTCGAGCCCTTTACTGGGAAGTAGGGCACTGAGGGTCGAACTCCTTCTGGAGGAGATGGGAGTATAGACTCAGGTCTCTCACTCCCTAGGAAAGTGTCTTAAGCTGGCTATTGGGCTAAAAGGTGGGAGGGCTCGTCTCGGTGCTCTGGCAGATATAAACTACTGGGGCGATCCCATTCCACCATAGGTTCGAACAGACTTCCACCTGGCATAAATGGCAAAAATGGCAGGAATCCAATTATGTGAGTGCCATGTCAGCGTGTGAAGGTGAAATAGGATTTAGGGCTGCGTGTCTACATATGCAGCACAAAGCAGTGCTGTACAGAGATGGTCAAGCTACCTTGAGGATCAAGAGTCCTGCCCATCGTAAGCACAGTGCTCTTCCTGAGAAGAAGCAGCCTGCATTCACAGCAGTGTATAGCACTGCGGTAATGTGGCTCTATTACTCCTGGGCATACACGCTTAGTACATGTATATGTACATGTATATGGACTCTGGGGGTTTTGCCTTCCTCTGCAGTGAGAGTATGACCCTCTTCCTTGTATCTTTTGAGTGTATTTCAACAATACTTGTAGTTGCAGGATCCTGAGAGTCTTTGTCCCCTTGCCTGTGGCAGATTAGGGGGTTCTTGGTGTTTTTAACCAAGTTCATTGTTGGTTTAGGAATAAGTTAGAGAAGCACTTGTATGGGATGGTTTGGATAAGGATGACCCTGGCTTGGGCAGGGGGTTGAGCTGGATGACCCCCTGAAGTCCCTGTCAGCCCTACTTTTCTGGGAGTCTGTGTCTGTACCTCTTTGGGGCTCGAGTGGGTGTCTCTGGGTGGCTCTGCTCCGTGCAATATTAGTTTACTTTGTATGTTTTAAGCCTTAGGCCAATAATTTCACTTTTATATACTTTATTTAGTTTCCTTACTTATAAACAGAGGTACCATACACCGTGCCATGAATATGTATTTATGAAGGCTCAGGATTTGCCATTGGAGCATTTCATTTTTTTCTCTTTGCCTTCCAAAGAAAATCTCTGTAATGTTGGTCAGCCGAACTACTTTCTTCCTCATCCTACTCATTACATAATGAATATTATAAATCTTTTCCTACCTTCTAGCTAACTTGTGAGATTTTGTTAATAAATGAGCTCCTTGGCTCTAATGTCCCACAGAATAGCAAAATTCTGAACATCGGTTTTATTAGAGCTATTTCCAACATGTGAGCTGAGCTGCCTTGCTTGGAAATGGGCTTGGAGCAAGAAGTAGCTGACAGGGATGTTGATCACAGAAGTAAATGCACTATGTATGTGTGCTTCACTACATATTAATATTTGGAAGTAAGACTCATGGGGGGTGTTGTATTTTGGGGGGGGGAGATTTGGAGAAGGAAAGCACTAGGAAAAATCAGTGTAAACCATTGGTTTGGATTTTGGATAAAAGATCTGGAAACCTTGCTCATAAACCATTAAAGAGAATAAGGCATAAACCAAATCAGTAATGGTTTTGGTCCATTCCTGC